ACTGGTTACCTGGTGAATTCTTGAGTTCATTTCTTTTACTTGCGTTTTAATGTCCTTCTCATGAGACAGTGCAGAGGCGTAGACGACAAACTCGGGTTTTCGTTCATGCTGAAATTAGAATTCACTGAACAATTGGGTACTTATATGTAGCTTTTAGATAAGCCTCATCCTTTCTTCTTGTGGAAATTCAAGTTTATGTAAACAATACGTGATTACCCAAAACAATTGTGAGAGAATATATACAAATTATATTTAAGATATGCAAAAAAATCGAAAAAGACTTAATTAAATCAATCCAGTAACAAGTCTGCCATATAAATCAACAGTTTCTTTATTAATTGTACATGCAGTATTTTTAAAACAAAAATAAAAGAACTAGGAGGAAGTTGCGACATTTTCAAGAAATTACCGTAAAATTTGCATAACCATGTTTGCACCAATTCGAAAACCCTTACCCCATGCTGTACGGTAATTTTATATTGTTGCTGTAGACGTTGTAGTACTAAGTAGTAACCGCCGTGAAGTTCGACACGTTGTAGTGGATAATTTACAAATGTGTCAAGAGGTACAGCAACCTAGAACATATAGAAATGAAAATGGTGATGTCCCAGGTCCGCAATTGCACAACACCATTAAAATCCAAAATATTGAACAAACTTAAGATGTGGCTTACCTGCACATTTCTTTTATCTTCACTAAGCTTCAGTTTTGGCTTTGTTCCTTTTTCAACACGAATATTTAGTGAATCCTCTTTAGACGACGTCCACATCATCTGAAAGTAAACGTTTGATGAACACATTTAATATATATTTGATGAATATATAATACAATATTCAATTAAGAGAAATGAGAAAGGTAGGCTGAAGCGTTTGATGTAGCATGAAGCCTATCCCCAAACAATGATCTATAGAATCCCCAATAGAAAAAGTTTCAATATACTCGTTTTAGGTACAACTTGCAATTTCATGTAGTTTTAAGTCAAAAATAATGCAGATACTCGAGCAAAATCTGTAACTTTCATAGTAATCCTCTTTCATACATTTGCTAATCAGTAAAATAGAAATCCTCAAAGCAACCTCGTAGCCTTTAGTTTGAACCTAAAAGCTATAGCACTTCCAAGGCGTTGAAGACGTCATGTAAGTTCGAATATATATATATATAGATCTGAATAATCATTTTCAAAGTGTCATGAAAAAGGAAAAATAAACATAACATGATAAAAACGTGGTGATGTTGGCTACATCACTTGGAAGTGCTCCAAAAGTGTTGACTTTTTTGAATTTGAGACTCAAATGTGTTAGCAGCGGCCGTAATCTGCCCAGAAAAGAAAGAAGCAAACAACAGAAAAAAGTTCAACACCTATAACCTCACTACTATTTTTGTGCCATGTTATCAACATTT